GAAGCCTTGTGAGCTAGAATTATTCTCAATTTTTTTGTTCATTCGCACACAGCCAAAGAAACACAAAAATTACAGTGATAAGTAGAAAAGCTGAGGTAATGAAACTTTCAATGCTTTAAGTTTGTTTTTATTAGTGATTTAATTTACCAGTGTTTAATTTTTATTAATTTAATTTCTTATATTTTTTAAATTATTAGGTGATTTTTAAAATTTTAAAACATAGAATGACTTTTAAAATAATCTAATATATAAAAAATATATTAATGACTTGATATGTTGACGTAGTTAAATGAGAATAAATTAGTCTTCGGATTAGTTTTATTTTTATTGACATAATCTCTCATTCATTGCAGTTTGTTATTTTTTTAATTTCAAAGTCTATTGGCTTCTAACTAAATTATTACACTTTTTATTCAGTAATTCATATTGCTACCATTAATATTTTATTATTCATATCAGTATATTTTAACAATGTTCTTCTTGTTTAAATAATCAGAACCAAATTGATGATTGAAGATGATTTAAAAGACTAAATTGACAAAAAATAAATTTAAGGGACCAAATTAATAGCTAAGATAAGTTTAAAAGACTAAAAGTTGCATTATCTCATGTGAGTATATTGTCTACTCTCTACGAATTACAATATAACTCATATTTTGTAAATTTTTTATCTAAAATATAAGGCATTAAATAATTTTTCTGTTAAAAAATATAAAGTATTCTTAATTAAATTTCATCTCTCAATCAAGTAGTCACCTGCTTTTAAACTAACCCTATCTTTTCATATTTATCTCTATTAAACACCCTATAATAAATATAAAGTCATTATTAATAGGATTAATTTTGAGAAAAAGGCAATAATTACACTTTAAAAATTAAAAATGTCTTATATTTTTGAACATTCAACATCTCAAAAAATGCTTTATATTTTTTAATGGAGAGAGTGACTTCTTATAATAGTTTTTTTAAGTGTAACTTTACTTTATTTATTCCTCTTCTTCTTTTTTAAATAATGTATTGGAATCATTATCAAAACACTTATATAAAATATTTAACAATGTTAAGATTGAAAAGATGTATTATAATTTTTTAAGAGTATAAGTTGTCATGTAAGTTCTTTCCTTCTTTCTTTCTGTTTTGATAACCATGGAGTACTAGTTGCAAATAAGATATTATGATCCAAAAAAAGAGTATAATAAACATAAGTTTTTCTTGGCTTCAAACTTTCCTCTCGGGATTATGGCTAAAAACACCCTTTTGAAAATTAAGAAATTCTTGCATAGGTTCAGTATATTGTATTATTCATACCCTATCCAATAAATTGTATTAATTTAATAAAATAAAATCTTACATGTCACCATTGTTGATGACTTTGTCTTCAGAATAAAATATTTATTTAACCTGTTGTCTTTTATTTCTCTATCATCATCAATACTATAATTAATTTATATTTTGTAAAAGTAACGATAAAATCTATTTGAACTATTTAAATGATATTTTAATATGTCAAAATATTATAATTTTTATAAAATCTTTAAGAATTTTTCTGTCATTAAAGAATCAATATAGATGATCAAATTATCTTTAATTTAAACTTGCGAATTGTTGTAAAATTCTTACAATTCTAAAAAGAAAAATTGTGAATTTTTAAATAAAACTTGTGAATAGAAATTAATATTTGCAATATTTGAGAAATATCAGGACTTTAAATGCAACTTTATAATTTATTGTTGAATTCTTGTGATTTTAATAAAAAAATTTGTGAATTTTAAAGCAAAGTTTGTGAACGATGATTGATATTTGAATTAAAGATAATTTAATCATTTATATTAATTAATTTCTTAATAATATAAAATTTTTTAGGAACTTTAGAAGACTTATGACATTTTGAGGGATTAAAATATTATTTACATAATTTAAAAAAATTTTATTATTATTTTTTCTTATACTTATAACTATATGATAGAACATATTTTTATTTGACAGGATATATACGGCGGGGTGAACTGGGGTTCATAAAATTGTCTTCCTGAGCATGGTTTAGTGCCTGTTCATTAGTACTAATGAGTGTATCAACATTACCATTATCTACAATATAAAATTATATATTTTATAAAACTCATAAGAAAGCATGTTATGATATATTCCCTCAATTTTAATTTATAAGATAGTCTCAGACAAAATTATACCAACTCTGTTAAAAAATATAAGGCATTTTAATAGAATATCATCATTTAATAAAATAATTACGTACTTTTAAACTAATTGTATCTTTTTATATTTATCCCTATTAAATACCCTACAATAAATATAAAGCCATTATCAATAAAGACATTTTTTTAAAAAAGGCAATGATTATATCTTGAAAGATTAAAAATTTTTTATATTTTTTAATATTAAATTCTTCAAAAAATGTCTTATATTTTTGAACGGAGGGAATATATATTAATAAAAATTATTAAATATACTTTACAATCTTATTTTTTTAAAACAAAAATACTATATAAATTTTTTAAAAAATTATTTATTTGATATTTTATTTAATAGAGAGAATGTAATGAAAAGGATAATATTAAAAAAAATTATTACCAAATTTTTTTGTTAAAAATATTTTATAATTTATGATAGAGGAAGAATATTATTATTATTGTCATCTTTACAACGCAAAGAGCATATAATTTATCCCAAGCGAGTATCTTGGGGGGCCCGCCTTCCGAAAGAAACCTCTGGGGAAGTAGGAACTTCAATTTGATTATTGCGTTGTTGAGATAAAATTGGGAGAGGCGGGAGTTATGCCATTAAATTAAAACATAATAATAAAATACTAACAGTAATACGCCATGTAAGCATTTTAATGTGGGACCAAGAGGAGCGAGAGTCCACACTCCACACTCCACACTCCGCTGCGTAGTCAAATATTCGAGGAAACGCATTTTGCGAGCGGGAGTTAGTTTCTTGGGCGCCAAGTATCAGTGGTTTTCGTTTTTGTTTTCCTAATATATATTTCTCAATTTAACATACCTTATTTTTAACGTGACGTGATAATAATATCATTATAAAATATAAAATTTAAATTTAATATTTTGATTTTGATTATGGATATGCTTCTTTTTACCTTGATAATCTTATGAATTTCCATTTCACTTTTACACCTGGGCATTTCATTTATTTAAATATATGTTTAATTCATAAATTATATTTTATAATATAATTTATCTCACTAGAATATAAGCAATTGTAGTTTGAATTTTTTTGTAGTAAATCAATAGCGATTTTCTTTTTAAAATTTCCCCAGTTTCTATTCAAAATTTAGAAATCTTGCAGCAAGATAAATTCGATTAGTTAAAAATAAATAAGCTCATTCCAAATTCAGAATCACGATTTAGATAAATGACATAAAATTTAGACGATTTCACCAAAAAAGGCATGAAAACTAAATGAGAATTAAACAATTGTTTTTTTTTTGAAAATACAACGATTGCATAATATAAACAAAAATACAAAAATAAATGAATCCAACAAACATGATAGAAAATCAACAGAAAACATAAATATATTTTATTTTTTTGAGTAGAATATATGTGTGTGAAATAAAATAAGAAAACGATTGGTTTAAAATCTGATCCTCCAAGCATCCCAGTATCCTGAGAAATCCCTGACTTCCCCTATCATTTCTGTCGATGGCCGTATTCTTAAATTACTTTCTTCTCCTTCCTTCGGAATGTGAGTGAGATTTCTAAAACACCAGGGTTTCTTGCACACGATTTAGCGAGGAGTCCGAGTAATCAAAGGAGTATGAGCGTCGGTTCGCTGCTCTAACCGTGCGATTTCAGGGCGTCTTTTCAAGCATTCATCTAAAACTAAATTCTAAACTAAATGGTCGTGTCGAGTTCGAGTACCATCTCCATCCATTGGCACGCAGCAGAAAAGAGTGATAGCTAGATCCTTATATAGACCAACATATACGCTAGCGGTGAGCTGTAGTAACTTTCTAAAATTTTTGTCCATTCCTTCGCTTCAGTAGGCCGACCGATCTCTGAAGCCTTCGTCGCAGCGCCGTCTCTGTCTTTCAAGTCTCAAGTCGTCGCGCACCGTCTCAAGTCTCAAGGTTCATGTCTGTCTCTTCTCTCTTCTGAGTGATGACCGTGGTGGGTTCTTTTTGATTGCTTGGTTGATGTCCCTGCTTTCTGAATTTCGGATCCCCCACGCACATGTTTATTTGATTGATAGTTTTTAAATGTATATTATTTACAATATATTGATTTATTATCGATCGGCTTCGACGACGGTTTGAACATTTAACCGTGAAATGTGAAGCGATGACAGGTGCATTTTTTAAAACCTTGGTAGCAAGCAAGGGGTTCGCCGGTATAAAAGTCAAACTTGATCCCTTTCCATTTGGTGAAGCTCCCTTGCACAGAAGCTGGAAACCTTGCCTTTCGGCCTCTAGTTAATAGGAAACGAAAGCTACTAACTCTTTATCATGCCGAGTTCTCTCACTTTTTTCTTCCTCGCTCTCCGTTTTTCTCTCCATTTCACTCTCTCAGTCTTTCACATCATCTCTCACGACACTTCAAAGATTGAAGTTTAGAAAACGCACGCTACTAACTCTTTCGCATCCACTACGTTAGATATTTTTTTTTTTAAACATACACGACGACGTTAGATTTTGAAACGTTATCATGCATGATGAAACCTCTTTTTCTTCGTCTGAGGAGTAGTTTTTCTCTCGCTCTTTTAGATCGCCGGAGGTCCGCAAGCGTGATCGGAAGTCGGAACCCTCAGTTTTCGATTAATTATCATATCATATGAAGTTTTAAATTTTTTAATTTAAAAAATTAAAATAAATCACATTTTAAAAAATGTTTAAATTCAGTTATTAATAAAAGAAATAGATTGATTAATAAAAGAAATATATTGCTTTAATTAAAAAAAAAATCTTGATTTAAGGGATTTGAACGTCTATATATTCTCATTACTAATTTCTCTTTGCTCAGAACGAGTCTTCAATGGCGGTGGAGGAATTGGAGTCTCCTGGGAGAAAGCGCAAGCGAGGGTCTGGAAAAAGGAAGCTCGTTGTCAATGATAGAGTGGAGGTAATGTCACTCACTCACTCTTCTTGGTTTGTTTTGCCTGGTTTAAACATTTTTTTTTAAATTTAAAGACGCAAAATTTTCCTTTACTGGGTTTGAAAATTCGGGGCCACTGCTTTCTTTGTGTATTTGATTTCTAATTTCCTTTTGCTTTTCGATGACGTTTTTTCCATTGAGTTTTCACCGTAGTTGTCACGTTCTCTTTTCCTTCACTACTCCCCTGATACTTGATTTCCCTATTCAGTTGTTCTAAACGGTTCGCTGCGTGTTCGTTTTGGTAGACATGCAACCAAATCTTTTTTTTTTTTTTGGGGGGCCAAGCAGCCATGCAAGTTTTTATTTCTGATACTTTGTGTCGTCCCTTAACAGTGGTGTCATTAGAGCGCTGTCCGAGAGTTACCGATATTTTCCCTCCTTATTACTTTTTTTTATTTCAATAAAAAAATAACTATCAATGCGGCTATCTCTCCATCTGAAATTTCCAGTTGTGTTACGAAAATTTTAAAACTTTTCAGGTGAGAAGTATCGAAGATGGCTTTTTGGGTTCATGGCACCCGGGGACTGTTATCCAATGTGGGAAGCAGAAACGTCATGTCCGATATGATAACGTTTTAGATGATAATGGGTCAAATTATCTTGTCGATGTAGTGGATGTTCCGGCTATTTTGGATGGCGCCAGTTCCACAATTTACAATGAACGCGGATTTATTAGACCACCGCCACCTTCGAAGGAGTTTGGGAAATGGGACCTTCCTTTTGGTCTCTGTGTTGATGTGCACTATCAAGAAGCTTGGTGGGAAGGTGTTATTTTTGATCACTGTGATGGGATGGAGGAGAGATCCATATTTTTCCCAGATTTGGGTGATGAAATGAAGATTAAAATCGATCATTTGCGTGTTACTCATGACTGGAGTGAAGTTACTGAGGAATGGGAGAGACGAGGCATGTGGGTATTTCTTGAATTGGTTGAAGAGTGTGAACAGGATACTTATGTTGCAGTTTCAGTAAAGCAAATCTGGTATGATGTGCGTGCAAAAGAAGATTTCGATAAGATTAGAGACTGGACTTGTAATGTGAAAGACTTGTGGAGAGATCTGGTACTAGAGGTAATTAATGACTACTTTGCACTTACACTGCGGGAAGTTTTCACCGTCTTTGATATTTCAAAAGATCTCTTGACAGTAGCACTAGAACCAGAGTCAGCTGCACCTACTGCTGATATTCACATAAATCCGGAAAAAAATACAGACAACTTTCAATCTGTTTTGAATTCTGATAATCAGTTAAATAGCAAATCAAATGTGCTTTATGATGCTGGTCCTAGTGATGCATTTGTCCGTGACATAAGTTTGGCTGAGAAACATTCGGAAAATGATGAGCTTTCAGATTTCTTGGATGCTGATCAAAACAGTGGTAGCGTCTTTCTTATCCAGGAGAAATATGATTCGCAGACCTTGCGGGGTGGAGTGTCAAATGCGCCTGTGGTGGCAGACTTAGACATGTCCTTCCTTGAGAAGGAAGTACTGGTGCAGAAGGAATCTATATCTCCAGTAGAAGAGATCTTAGCAGATATTCCAGAAGGAATTTCTGGACAAGATGCTGGTACTGCTGGTGAAGTAAATTATGGTGCTGGGTGTTATAAAAGAAATAGACAGTTGGGGTCTTCAACTTGCAGAAGGTTGACTGATTGGAATCCTCTGATACTTTCTGAAGTTGAACTGTGCCCTGATTCTATCCATCGATATGCACTTGCATCTAATAGGAAGAGCAGGGAACAACTGAAGACAAATGTCAGAAAACATATTGCATATCTTGGATGGAAAATTGAGTGGATGCAACATGCAAATGGTTTTTATCAACAAACGCAATATAGGTACACCTCACCTGAGAAAGAGGGGAAACAGGTCGTTTACAAGTCACTTCGCAAAGTTTGTGAACATATTGAAAAGGACACCAATACGAACTCTTTGTTGTCACAAGATGATCAGAGAAGGATGCATCCTACAACTGGCAGTAATATTTCACATAATGCAATCTTGCCATCTCCTTCAATTGAAGACGCAGTTGAACCTGAATTTTGCCCAGAAGCTGTTTTGAGATATTACTTGCTTCCATTAAAGAAGGGGCTCGGCGATGTTAAAAAAATTATGATACCAAAGGCAAGAAAACACCTGTTAGCAGAAGGATGGAATTTTGAGTATCCAACCATAAGAGGAAGAGGAATCACCTACATTTCACCCCAAAATGTGCGTTTTGGTTCACTTCGAGTGGCTTGTGGAGCATGTATAAAAGTATGTCTTCCCCAGTGGATCAGCTCTGGAACGATGTCTCTGGATGGTTTGGGCATAAATGAAGAGACAATGAATCCGGTTGATAGTGATAAACTATTGTATTACGTGTCTCAGTTGCTTCAAAAGGAGCCTGAATTGGCTGATTTAAGTGGGGTGCCAGAAAGTAGATCAACTGGGCATTGCAAGCTCAAACCCTCCAGGAACGTAAAGCCCAGACCACCTAAGCTCCAGAAAAAAGGATTACCTATTCGGTTACAACGATCAAGTAAAAGGGTCCAGAAGGTGTGTGCTCCTTGTCCATCACACCAGAAAGCTCAAAATGTCCTGTCCTGGTTAATCGACTGCAAAGGGTTGTTACCAAGGTCTAAGGTCCAATACCGGGCAAGAGGCACAGGTCATCCTATGGCAGAGGGGCGAATAACTCGTGATGGAATCAAGTGTAGCTGTTGTCGGAAGCTATATAGTCTCAGTGGCTTTGAAGGTCATGCAACTGGTAGTCGTAATTGCAGGTCAGCAGCTGCTAATATTATTTTGGAAAATGGCAAATCACTCCTAGATTTCCAGATGAAGATAATGAATGAGCATCGGGCAAGAGGAACTATAAAAACACCATCCAAAAGTGTATATCAGGAAGAGAATGATGCCATTTGTTCTGTTTGTCACTATGGCGGTGAACTAATATTATGTGATAATTGCCCTTCTTCTTTTCATAAAAGCTGCCTAGGTTTGGAGGTATATTAATTATTAAATTTTTTTAAAACAGTTTAGTTTAGCACTTACATGGCAATGGATTAATTTTGGGCCACAGTTTTTCGTTAGACTGCTTTCTTTTTGCTTATCCAGGATATCCCTGACGGTGACTGGTTTTGCCCATCATGTTGTTGTGGAATTTGCCAACAAAGTAAAACTGATGGGGCTGATGATGAAAATCTTTTGACTTGCAGTCAGTGTGAACATAAATGTAAGAGAATATAACATTTACTCCTTATGTCTGTATTTATGCACATATAAAGAGATCAACATGGTAACATTCATGATCTCATTCTTGTTATCATGTGCAGATCATGCTAACTGCTTGGGAAAAAGGCCTGTAGCAATGTCTGGAAGATATCTGAAAAATTGGTTTTGTGGAAAAAGCTGTGAAAAGGTGTTGTAACTCTTCTTCCTGTTATATTCTTTTTATGAACAAATAGGTTGTGTTTTGTAGACACATTGGTAGTTCTCCTTTACCTAAACAAATTTAAATCATTTTTAAATTACTTGTGCTTTTTTGATTCTGTTTGACAGCTTCACATGGGACGTACTTAGCATGTGTTTGGATGATTACAGATTGTTACTTTTGGAGAGAATTAATATTAGGAAAAAATATTTAGAAAGAATGAATTTGATTTTTAAGAATGTTCATACAGAAATCGTTTTTAGTATTATGTTTGTGCAGTATGTTATGTATAAGTTCATTCAGGTGTCAAATTACAAAAAAGAATTTAGAAACAAAACTCTTAAATATGTGTGCGCAAACGCTTAGGACATATTTGTTAAACCACATGGAATGGGATGGATAATTTTTTTGGCATGAACAAAAGTTGAAGCCACACTATTGAAAAGTTACTTTTGGCCCTTACAATTGTTAATATTATTAGAGGAGGAAAGATTACTTTTACCTATAACAGGCAATGCTTCATCATGGGTTCCATATATATACGTATAACGGGGCAAACAGATATTTGTCTTCCGGCAATCCAAACACACTCCTAATGCTTGTTAATTTCTGAATTAACTCCTTTGCTTCAATTTTTTTATTTTATGCTGCCAGCTATTATTAATTGCTCTCATGACCACTTAGAACTGATACAAGATTTTGTTAAAGAGTAAACATTGTTAGTAAATATAAGTGACAGGAAGACTATTGAAGTTTAATATCAGATAAACATTGTAGAACACGCTCTTGCTTTTTATATAGCTAGAAAGCTTTAAGGAACCTAATATTGCTCTACATGCTATTATATGTCTTCTGCAGTTATATGCAGGCCTTCACAAGCTATTAGGAGAACCTGTTGCAGTGGGTGTGAACAATTTAAACTGGACGTTGCTGAAGTATGTTAACTCTGAGAATTGTGATCTTGGGAATGGTAGAAGTAGCCTAGAGGTAGAGAGTTACAGCAAACTCAATGTGGCTCTTTCAGTGATGCATGAATGTTTTGAGCCCTTAAAGGAATCTTACTCTGGCAGGGATCTCATGGAAGATGTTATTTTCAGCAGATGGTCAGAAAATCTACTCCTTTGAATTGTGTTTCTAATATATATATATATATATATATTTTGGGGGGATACTTTGGTGCATCTTGTCTGTGTTGTGATTCATGCTTGATATTTCATGCGTTGAATCTTTAGCGTCTCCTTTTTGATGTATATGAATCTGTCCTAGCAGGTGCACACCATGTGGAGGTTCATTCTTAAGTTTGGTGCGAAAACAAGTTCCGTGATAAAATAATTTTAGGTCTATAGGTTTTATTTCTTGGTTGAGTTGGTATTGGATAATCTTCATTGGTGATTTATAGTTCCTACGTTGTTTTGCTTTGGATGAAATAATTGGCCCATGTGCATTTCTTGGGTACCTTGACATACCTTCTTTGTTGTAATTACTGACAAATTTGTTGGTGACATCTATTATCATGCATAGAGATTATTATGTTTCTTTAATTTGTTTACATTGATGTAATGTTCTTTGGCATAATGCTTGATTTCTGTTTCTTTCAAACTTTTCAGGTCAAAGCTTAATCGATTGAACTTTCAAGGTTTCTATACTGTACTCCTGGAGAGAAATGAAGAAGTGATAACTGTGGCAACTGTTAGGTAAGTGTAGGAACTTCTATCATAAAGTGGTAGGCTTTGTGAGATTATGTTTTCTATTTGAGATGTGAATTTCAAATTCTTTTCTTGTTTTGTCCAGTTGATAAACTGTTTCCATTCCCAGGGTCTATGGAGAGAAGGTAGCAGAAGTACCCCTTGTTGGTACCAGATTTCAATATCGCCGCCTTGGAATGTGTCGCATTTTAATGGACGAGCTTGAAAAGGTGATCTCTAAAGCATATATATTTTTGTAAGGTTGTTTATTTGCCATATTGAATTTTAAGTCACTTGTTTCCCCTCATTGGAGTCTTATTATTATTATTTTTTTCTTTTGGCCTCATAAGTTTTTTTTTTTTTTGTTCAGGGGATTCTGTTGCATCATTTTCAACCTTTCTTAGGCCCAGATTCTTTAAGCAAATGTTTTTTTTTTCCGGCTAGAGGAATGGTGACAAGATTTTTTTGGGGGGCATTTAATGCCATTAAACAAAATATTTATACATTAATTTAATAGTTCTACATCAGTTGACCTCAGAGAGTTTAGATCCAAGTTTGTAGACTTTCCATTGTTCTTGTTGTATTTGATGGACAATAATTTTTCAGAGTCGTTGATATTTGTGGTTGTTATAGCTTCTATGTTGTACTTTGTTCAAGTGCCTTTCTGGTATTTCATTTGGCTGTTTCTTTTAAATCTTATTCCTAATTATACAATTTTAACCAGTTAGCTCATCAAGCCATCTGATACAGCAATGAATGAAATTGAAAGGGCTGTTCACTTATGACGATGGCTACAATGGTGAAAACCAGTGAAAAAAAAAATAATTTGTTATAAATAAAAATGAAGTCCTACTTATTCAATTATTTTCTTAATTTTTTTATGAGGTTTCTTACTTCAATTTCTCATCAGAGGCTCATGCTATTAGGGGTGGAGAGGATAGTTTTGCCTGCTGTTCCAAGTGTGCTAGAAACATGGACGACTTCTTTTGGCTTTGCACAGATGACAAATTCTGAGAGATCACAGTTTCTGGACTACACTTTCCTTGACTTTCAGGATACTATCATGTGCCAGAAACTCTTGACCAAGACTCGTCCAGCTTTGGTTTTGTCAACAGGTTTGTATTATTTATAATCCATGTTTGTCACTTTTTAAATGAGAAAGATGGGTAATCAAATTTATTTTCTAGCTGAATTACAACTCGTGTCATATTGCAGAGAGCCATCCAAACCCACATGATGTTTTATCTGTAAGTGGTGGTACTGGTTTTGATCAGTCTAGTGCTGTATCTGAACTATGTCAGGCAGAAGAGAATGACAAAAGTGAGACGCTGGATCTACAAATGGTGGAGTATGTCTTGCCGCTGCCTACTTTCTAACTGAACAAGAAAGCAACATTATAATGCTGAAAATGTTTTCTTTGTATGTATAAGAAAAGGAAGACTTTAAATGTCTCATCATCACCTGTGAAAATGAGTGCACTCCGTGTTTGTAATGAAGTTGACCACCTCTATTTATTGATTGCTAATATTGCCAATGACTATTAAAATTTCTGACTTTAAAATGAGTCGACCTTTTCCTAATTTTTCTTCTAATTCGTCTCCATCATAAAATATTTGATGTTTTAGTCAGATGGGAATTTAGTAAGCAGTTGCAAGTTTCATCTTTTGCACTAAAAATAATGTGTAATAAATTTTTTTTTAGGACCTGAAATGTGTCATAAACTTCTTCACAGTGAAAATAATCTAAATCCAATCCAGATTTCTTATTCTTCATATGAGGGTTTCTAGAGACATTCGATCCTCCAAATTAGAGCCCCTGCAAATCAATAAGTTGTCTTGAAATTTTATCTTAGGAGTTGATTATGGTGTTTATCTGACCAATATGATTTTTGGCAGTCCTTTTGCTGGCAGTGAGGATCGTCTTGGTAATGGTGCCCCATGTCCAGTTCACTTGGTACTTTCACCTGAGCCTTCAAATTGCTACTATGATTTTTTTTTTTTAAAAAAAAGGCATACATTTGAGTCTTTGAATGAGTTTTGTTATATGTTTTTGTATTTTTTTCTTTTTAAACGTTTCAAGCTTTTACACTTTTCTCTATCTGTAGGTTCCTATAACATTGCTCAAAGGGACGTGGAATACCAAAATAAAAGTAGAGGGACCTAGATCACTAAAAAAAATGCAGGGGCTTATGACAAAATTCGAGCAAAGTATAGGGATCCAAATATATGTTTTTCCTTTTTTAAAAAATAAACTCTCTTGCAAATACTACATGAGTGCGGTTGGACGAAGAAAGGCTGAATAACTTCTAATATGGGAAGCAGCGTCGTATGCCAGAAGTTATTTAGCATCACACTATCACTGTCTAATTACACCCCGTGCGTTTCTTTGTTAAGTGTGGAAGGTTTAGATTAGATGATTTGATGCTCATTGACTGATTCTTTCGGTGCATAGGCGAAGCCAGTAAATTCCGAGGGCGAACAACTGCAGAACAGAAGCATTACAGAATGCTCACTTGAAGATGGCCACTTAAAACAAGTTTCCACCTATAACGCTCCATGTAAGTACTACAAGCGAAGGAAAAATCATGGAAGGATGAGAATTCTCAGTTAAAAAGGTGGCCACTGAAATCACTGAACCATCTGGGTTGAGCCATGTACGAAGTTTTGGAGGTACATACTTGTCATCAGTTCAATGCTCTGTTATCCTTTTTTGGTGTATTAAGATCTCAGTTTATATAATCTAGCCCACGCATGCAACCCACCTATGTCATCTTAGGTATCATGTTGAGGTGGTTTTGTGTCTCTTTTTGTTCAATTCTGAATCATGAGAAATGAACAGCAAGAATTGTATGAAATGTCACTTGCATTGTTATATTGCTCTCTTGATTGTGCAAAATTCAGGATGGCACATAAAAAAAAAAGTGAAGCAAATCGTAGTTTTTGGTGCTTTAGCATTTGGTGATGTGATTGATGATTGTGGAGGACATCATATGACAACTTTGTTATTTCTCTACTCATGCTTATTGCTTAGTTTGCTCCTCTAACCAACATGATACATGGCTATTCTATTTTACAATTATCTATGTGTAATATTCTATTTGAAATCTTTTTAAAGCATGAAAAGGTGAATCAATTTATAGTTTTTTTATTTTAATTGTAATGCTCTTGAAACGGGTCGGAAGACATTTTTTTTTATTTTAGTTAATTATGTTATGTTTGATTTTCTCTAAGAATGGATACTTTATAGTTTCTAGCTTCTTTTTGGCAGACGTGTATGTATCTTTTAAATTTAAAAATGTTTTACCTTGTTACTTTATGTTTTAAGTGCAATTTTCAAGCTAATTGAGGGGAAAATCAGCTTGCTATCATAATCATTTATTAATTTTATCCTACTTTTAAATGTTTCAAAAAGTTGAAATTTGGTCAACCTAAAAAACAGAATGATGCATCCATAGCAACTCGTGCTGTTTAGATAACAATTTAAAATGAATTTCAATTTGATTTTTTTTTTTTGAGTGGGAATGAAGTGTATATTAAAATAATTGTACAGAGTACAAACAGAAACAATCAAGGAGCAAAAAGTAATTACATCAAAATATAAAAAGTTGAAAAAGCTCCTAGTGTATAATCAACCAAAGCTCTGACTTGGCAAAGAATTTAGTCAGAAGTGAAAGATTTTCCTATAAAAATTCATTTGGTCCATGTGTCTCATAGTTTTTAGCACATAAGACATATTCCAATTTTTCAAGAGATATCTATTGAGTCATCATGCAGAAGCATTTTGAGCCAAGTGTGCATAGTTGTCCCATAAAAATCAGCACACATATCAAGTGGCAGAATTTTCTTCCAGACAACAGTACGTAAATTGCAATGCTTGAAAACATGATCAATGTTCTTTATAGGAGTAATACAGAGAATGCAGGTTTGATTTAAGGTGATATGCCTACGATATCTCTCAACATTAGTGAGCAACTTGTCTTTCAACAAAAGCCACATGAAGGTCTTCACACGCTGTGCAATAGGTAATTTTTGGAGTTTTTTTAGTTAGCATCAGTCTCGATCCAATGTAAAAAATGAGAAGCCTTATACATTGATTTAATGATAAAGTTGCCATTGGGATTAAGATTCCAGAATCAAGAGGGCCTGCGTTATCAATTTAAAATTTTATCTATATTTAATAAATCTCTTTTTTAATATTTTAATTAATTTTATTATTTTAAAATGGACTTTAAAAGTAAAGTTGATTAATGGTGTTAAAAAAGAGAAAAAATTTGACCATGCTTTAAAAGTGAAAAGATTAAAAAATTAATAAACTTAAAGGATTTTTAGGATTTTATTTTGTATTGGAAAAGATGAAGGAAAAGCCAATGTACATGTGATAGAGCATAGTACATCCTTTGAGCTCCAATATAATTCATGTAACTAACATCATTTAAAAAATTCCTATTATGTAGGTATCTAATTTTTTTTAAATATAATTTAGAAAAGCATAACAATCCGTTAAGAAAAACACATGTATAAATAAATAGTAAATAACATAATTAAGTGATTTAATATATATTTATATATATATTACATTGATTCTAGATACAAAAAATTTGATGTAAAATTCCATTTATCGTGTGTGTATATATGAGAAGATCGATCAAATTTAGATGTTCAAGAATCATTCAAAAGAGATCCAAAATTAAATATACTTCCCCCTAATTATAGGATTTGACCAAGATAGTTACAAATTGCAATGTCCCTTTGTTGAGTTTATTCTGATCAAACTCTAATTGAGGAGCAAGCGGGAAAAGATTTGATTTTATCTTTGATATGTCGAAGAAATCAATATCAATATTTAACGTAACATACAAAATTTATATCAAATCACGCTATTCAGTTAAGAAATAAATAGAATATTTCTTCAAACGATACTTGAGAGGATTGAAATAGGAGAGGAAGAGAATGAATAAAATAAAGGTGACCAAAATAATATTAATCAAATTGGTGAGTTCCATTAGTGGGTGATCAAAAAGGTTCATGAAGCCTTAAATTGCCCCCACACATGATCCTGGTTTCGTTGTCCTTGCCCTCCGATATAATTTAGAATCACACTATTGATGTTGATTTCTGGAGAGGGATCGATTTTTTTACTTAAAGAATTGTTTAAAAATACTTCAGTAATTGTAAATTTGTCATTGAAATTTATCTTCTTTTCATAATAATCATAAAATGAACGATGCCCAAAACATTTTGCTAAATCCTTGCAGGCTTCTTTCCTTTTATATATATATATATATATATATATGCGTTCCTTTATTAGAAGCAATTTAAGGCGCACAATCAAATATTAAATGTAAATATCTTATTGTATTGAGGTTGGTGATGATAAGAGGCGTCTATTTTTGATTTCTAATGGTCGTAATTGTTAAGTTACCTTGATGTTTTTTTCTATTTTTTTTAAAAAAATGTAGATATCACTATTCACCTGTAATTCAAACCATTTTTCGCCACTCCTCTAATTCCACGATGTATTTGCTGACTGGACCCCATCTTAAAATAATATACATACATATATATATATATATATGCATCTCTAGTTTGTTGACTTTTTTCTTCTCGAAGAATAGTCATAATGTTTATTGGACATCATTATTTTTAAATGTGATGTCACTTTTTTCTCTCTGTGAACTGTGTTTTTTAAAAACGAAAATTAATTTTTCTCAAAAAAAAAAAAAAAATTAATTTCATGTACCATTCATAAGGTGGTAATAAAAAACAAAACGGTCGAAATATTATTTTGAACTCGTAATTTTATTTACTATTATACCTCAATTTCAGATTTATCACACGTCTATTGATTTTTGGTCAAACATCTCAAATCTTTCCTTTAAACTCTATATATGTATGTACGTAAAGAATTTAAATTAATTTGAAAGGAATTCGGAAATATCATTAAAAGCTGTTTCAAATTTAGAGAGTTTATTAAAATTGTAAATAAAAATCAAATTGAAAGTTAAGACATCATGATGCTATTGTTAGTCGGGATTGCAAGAAAAAAAAAAGCACACAGTTTAAAATGATTAGTTTTAATTACAATTAAAGTCGAGAAATATTGCTGGCAAAGCAAAGCAGAAAAGGACAAATGATCGAGAAACATTAGTATTTTGTCATTATAAGCCTTGCAGTATTTTTTTTTTTAAAGGTGTCTAAAACTTTAGCTCCGCGTTCCCAAATTTAAATTGCATTTGAAATTTTGTAGCCGTACTATAAATATAAGATATAATATGACACCTAATAAATAACAATTATATTTTTTAAATAAAGAATCACATTATTATAAGCAATTATAAAACCATGTTCTTTATTTTATTATCAAAATCCAAAGCAACATGGATAAGTGCAAAGCGGTACAGCATTGGTATTTTCGTTTGCACAAATGTAGTAAATGTATCGTCTCATGCACCCATTCGATATAAATGTGTCTACAAGAATATTGTTGTACATACTTTTTCTTGATACCTCTCTCCACATGCAATTTCTTCTGTTTATTAAATTATCTATTTAGTTTAACAATGTGAGATCATTAATTGTGATATTAAACTAGATATACTATTTATTCAATTACTATAAAATGTATTATAATTTTATTTTCAAAATCATTTTAAGTAATGAAAATAATAAATGCATGTATCCATTAAATCAAATGAGCATATGAGATCACATAAAAATTAAGGAGATGCATTGGATAAAAGGCATGAAGATGGTCTAAATCTTGTATTTTTTTTTAAGTATAAGAAGAAAATTCCACAAATTCCAAGCACTTGCTTGAATGATGAAAATCTCTGTCACTATGCCAATTTTAATTAGATTTATGTTTTTATTTTGGATTAGCTAGGTATTGAAAAATTATAGATGTTAAAAGGGTTATTTTAAAATATCAATCAATGTACCGAGATATTAGTGTCAGTATTTATAATCAATGAATTAATATAAGATATAACAAGTTGCTTTCTTTATAAGTTACAAAACGTGCAACTTGTTATTTAGAATTCATATATACGACATCCTGGACCCACATAGTTAATTTTAGCTCAAAAAACTAATTTAAAATAATTAATGAAATCAAAAGAGTAAAGGTACTTATTTTAATTACCACATAAAAGATGATGATGAGTCAATGGTCTTATAGTCTAGATACAAGTAGATGTATAAATTTTGTAACTTTGCATTCCATACACTTAAACATTTTACACCCCCTAAAAATTATTAATTTTTAAATTAAATTACCTTGCACATTGTTGGTTCGAAATCCTAGCTCTGCCACTACTCATGTCTTTAGTATCTGCTCCTCTAAATTTAAAAAAGAATCACAATGATGAAGAATTAGGCTTTCCCTACTCTTTTTTTAAGAAGAAGAAAGGATGATGTTCCATGAATGTAGTTGAAGGAAAGCAAAGAACAAATGGCTTTAGATCATCAACACTGTCCTCTCTCGTCCAAAAGAACCAAACTGGCTTTTCCTTTTTGCTTGTGATGTCATAAAGTTTACTCAAATCTTTAGCACATGAGAGATCCCATTCTTCTCCCATTGCACCTACAATGGAGGCTACCACTAACTTCACCCACCTGCCCCATCCCCTCTTTTCCACTCATTTACTCTTCACATAATAAGTTGTTTATACTTTATACTCACCCTCTTTCTCAAATTTGGGTTCTCTCAATTTTACTTAATTGTTCAAATGAGAGAAGAGACACACACACACACACAACCCTTCAGGCTTCAAGATCTCCTGCTCTCTCTATATTTGTCTTGCATGTGCATATGATATCTTGAGCATGCCTTGTACTT